TCTTAACAGGCTTTTAGCAGATTAATTTGGAGGGCTGCAATTCCAGTTCTCTGGCTCCGGTTCATTTTGAGTTTAAATGCATTTATTGTAGGTAGATGCGGAAAAAGGTGTCTGCCAAATTAAATGTAATGTTTAATGTGTCATTTTTTTAAAATTTTATTTCAGAGTCTGACAGTGAGAGCGAGCTGAGTGAGTCAGAGGAGGAGAAACGCCCTGGTTCCTCAAGGCACGCTCAACTCCGACAGAAAGCAAGAGTTACGAGAAGCAACTGTGCCAAGCAGAGGAAAAAAGGTTGGGATTTAAGTGTTTGTTTTTAAAATCCAGTTTTCAATCATGCCTTATTAAATTTGGGGGGTTGTAATCAGAATAAGAGGAAAAAGTACATGTGTATTGTTACTGTCAGTTGCAGACAGTGATAGTGAAGAAGAGGACGAAGATGAGGAAGAATATGACAGTGAAGGTGAAGATGGAGAGGACGGAGGGATGTCCTCCCAGTCTTCAGGTCGTCGCTACCCCAGCAGGAGTAAGAACAGCAGGAGCACACGGCTGACCAGAAACAGCGCTGGCGCTGACAGGAAGCGCTCAGGTAAACGCTACAACTATCTTCAGCCTTAAACGCTGCGAATCCCAAAATCCACCTGCCAATATGTTAAACATCCTTCTGCACGGCTTGTTTTCAGAGGGCAGAGCGGAGGTGAACGGTCACAGCAGCAGGTCGTCTCGCAGGGAGAGACGTCACCAGCAGGACTCAGACAGAGCCACGTCCCCGGGCTCTGACAGGGAAGAAGAAGAGGAAATCACAGGTCGCAGGTCACTCAAGAGAAAGACGGCGAGGGCAGCTGTGAACAAAATGAAACTACTGGAAGCGTCAGATGAAGACTATGAGGAGGAGGAAGCGGAAGAGAAGCCAAGGAGGAGCAGCAGTCGCCTCCGCCAACCAGTCCGGACCAGCAAACGCACCGCAGTGATCCAGAGCAGCTCAGATTCTGAGGAAGAGCCATCAAGACGGGGTACGCACAAGTTCTCCTCTGTACTTTTATCAATGAATCATTAATTTTAACCATGATAATGAAATTCAGAAAGAGTTGGACGCAGATAATATGCTCTTAGATCTTGTCCTCTAAATACTTACTACTACTACTACTACTACTACTACTCACAGGATGTGTTTTGCTGAATTCTGCCCTTGCTTATCTTTCTAGCGTCTCGGAAAACAAAGGAATCAGGTGGCGAATCCAAGGACGAGGAGGATGGCAACGACAGTGATGCTTCATCTTCCTCCCAGGATCAGCAAAACGGAGACACGAGGTCCAACAAACAGAAGAAATCAAGACAAGCTGCTAAGCCTAAGGGAAATGGTGAGAAATGTTCTCTGGTTTCTAGGTGCCACCTGCTTGGAATTGTGATAAAAGTATCTCTAATCAGTTGGATTTTCCCCTCCTTTCTTCTGTAGATACTTTGTCCCATGTGAACGGCCACAGCGCAAAACATCACAAGTCTGACAGCAACTCTGAGCAAGAGGAAGCTGCAGAGGAGAGCTCTGGAGAAGCTGAAGTTTCTGTGCCTCAGAAACCCTCTCGAAGCACAGCAATCACTCCAGCCAGGAAAAAGAGGATTACAAGTGAGGAGGAAGAGGAGGAGGTAGAGGACACTGAACACAGGACCACACGACGCAAACTTCCTGTCAGCTCTGATGAAGAGGACAAGGACCACAGTTCTCAGAAACACCCACACCAAAATGGAAGAAATGTGGAGGAAGCAATCCACAAGGACTCTAAGAAGAAGTTAAAAGTCTCACCGTCAAAAAGCCAAGACAAACAAAAATCTGCCTCAACTAATGAACTGGATGGTGCTGAATCAGAGGAACACAGTGATTCCCCAAAGAGATCCAGCCCGCGCAAGAAAAGACTGAAAAAAGATGAAGATAGCGAAGTAGAAAGCAATCACTCCAGTGAAGAATATGAGGTTGAAACCAAGTCGAAGAGGCCAACAAGAAACAAGACAAAATCTAAACGGCCTCGTGACAACACCTCCGTTTCAGAGAGTTCTGAGCAGGAGTACAAACCCAAGAGGAAGTCGAGGAGGAAATGCTCCACTGGCTCATCAGACGAAGAGTCGGACAATTCAGACAACACATTTAACAGACGACTGAACCTTCGAGCCCTACCAAAAAAGAAATACATCAGTGACAACTCTCTCTCTGAGGAAGACTCTGCGTCTGCAAGCCAGCGTAAACGGGGAAACAGTGACAAAAAAGCCACAGCATCAAGGGAAGACAGGTATAATAAGAGAGAGTCTAACAGGACCTCTCCCACTGAAGCCAGGAATCCGCTGTCTTCCACCAGAAAACGTATTTACACCTCAGACTCTGAAGATGTGGAGGAGGGCGGAGAGAAAGAGCCAGTGTCCAAGAACAATAAAAACAGCCAGTCAGGCTCCACAAAGCGTCCCAAAAGGGAATCCAAACCAGAGGAAGGTATTGGCAACAAGGAAGACACCTCTTCCAAATCTGATTCCAGCGAAGAGGTGGAGGAGGAAGATGCTGGTCGTTCAAGGAGCAGGAAGAAGAATGCGAGGCGGCCAAAACACAAACAAAAGGAAAGCTACAGCAGCAGCAATCACAGTTCTGACTCAGAAAGCGAGCATTCGTCTTCAGCCTCTGAAAACTCGTTTGCCAGCTCAGGGTCCCGCAGCAGTCCAAAGAGAAGTCACAGACGGTCTGGGGTCGGTGACAGGACTGCCAGCCGTCAGCTAAGGCAGCGCCGTCAGCGGCCTGCCTCGGAGGAGGATGACGACGACGACAGCGATGTGTCGTACAGCAAACCACAGCGAAAGAAACGGGTGAACACTCGTAACCGTGGGAAGCGGACAGTAAATTATCATGACAGCGAATAAAGGACGTAGCGGCTGGAACTGTAGAGGATAGACGGAGAAGGACATTAACTGGAGACCTTTAAAGACACTTGATGGCCACGTTATGGTAGTAGCACTGGAGTCCTCGAGAGAAAATGCTGTGAATCTGTTTCATTCAGGGATATTTATATTTTCTATGAAAAACATGTTTATAGATGTAATACAAATTCAAGCATTTGAACTGCTGGTTTTCACAAGGATACAGAGCAAAACGCCACCTCCCATACTGCTTGTTGTGATTTGGCCAGCAGAGTAACCATTCTGGGGAATCTTGTCAGCTTGGGTGCTATCTAATATACCTCTGTTTAATCAAGCATATTGCTGGCTTGCACTAAGATACACTGTAATGAGGTATTTCATACACTAGTTTTGCATTAGAAACTCAGGGGTCAACTAAGTTTACTGTAGTCTCAGACATGCAGTTGTTTTTTGAGCTAAGGCAAAGGACAAGAAACAATTCCAGGTCGGCAGATGTCCAAGCACACTCACTGGGACAAAACAAATCCATGTTCAGACTTTTGACAACAGCACTCCTTTGTAAATCCACACACTTAATGCTTGACTGTATTATAAGTTGATATGAGCCAAATGAACAAATACGAATTCTTTCCCCTGTATCATTTCATTTTTTTTTATTAGTTTTGTGTTGTATTCTAGTGAATAGATGTAAATATGTGATTGAAAATCCATTGACAGGTTTGGCGATCAGTCAGTAGCAAAATCTTTATTTAAATTTGAGCTTCTTTTTTTTTTTTTTTTTTTACATTTTTCTTTTTTTAACATTTAAAACCATTGTCTTGCCATATGTCACAAATTGGTACCTTTTTGCCAAGTACAAGTAACCAAAAGTACTTATTGCAAAATAACTGTGATTTCTCATATTGGGAAGACCTTTTTATTGTTGTCCTGTGTTACCTACTTTCAGTATTAAATTCTTTTTCAGAGTTGACTTAAAAACATTTTTGCCAGTCACATGGTTTAGTTTTGTTTAAGGGGAGGTTTCTAAATGCAGTCGCTTTGACATTTTTGCTTAATGTTTTTCGTACTACACCGATTTCACGGGAAAACTATTAACGCAATGTGGTTGTGGAGTGCAATGAATGAGTTATTCCTCATATTAATAAAGACATCATTTCAAGGTGGATTCTGTGTTTGACTTAATCTTATCTACTGACATCATGAGTACACAGAAAACTGCATCGGTCTTGCTCAGTGTATTGTTTTGGGGTGTAAATTTAACAGGCAGCAAGAGATGCAGTTATACATATGCATTATTTTGAAGGGGGCTTTATCCTGGCTCTCAGAGGTAATTAGATTTTGACACATAAACCAAGCTCAGGACAGGGGTATTGTATTTCTGCCTCCAAGGAATTTATGACTAGATTAAAAGGAACAATTCACTCTTTTGGGAAATATGCTGACAGGGATTAAGGTAGTTCAATAAGTAAATCAAATCATTTAAATAACATTTACTACTCTTATACTGAGTATATTTTAAGACTTTTATCTTTATTGTTATGTGTTATTGTACTCTAACTCATCATGTTTTATGGCCAAACGCCCATTGAGAAGTTAGGAGGAAATCCTGAAGGACAAAACAATTGATTCCTTTGTAGATAATTCACCAGCTTCCGGTGAAATAACAACTGAAACCAAACACCGTTTTGCTTTCTTTGTGTTATATGTTTATGATTTCTCATTACTATTTACTCCGTTGTTATCTGAATATGTTGAACAGTTAAAAGGCATTTTCATACAGCGTGTAAATATTCTAGTAAAAATTAGATTTAATGTATTTTGGTGCACGACATGAACCTGCTTTTATTGTGAAGGGGCTTCAAAACACAAGAACCCAACGTCGCTTTCGTGTGACGTCATCAAGTAACGGTTTTCGATAGCCCGTCGCACTTTCGACATATTTTGAAACGTACGGTTTTAAATTATTATTATTTTAAACATTAGAAATATGCAGCACAATCCCGAATAGTTTACAAAGTCCCCAAATCTTCTATTTAACATCAATATAACTGTTTAAAGTATATAATTATTTTTATTTTGTTTCACGAAAATATCGCCTGCTACAGTCCGTTAGATTCGCTTGGTAGCTAGTCAGTAAGCTAACATGTGAGCAGTTATGTCTGTAGGAATGACAGGTACGTCACTTTACACATGACAATAAATAATTAGCCTTCCCTGGAAAGAAATATTTGTAATGTTAACACTATTTACATAAGGTATTAACATTTCCGTGTTTTACAAACAGGCTAACATTGAAGTTAAAGTTTAGCATGTCCTCTGACAGCCTCTGTCAGCACTACAAGCTTCAGTAAGTTAACACTGGACATCAACAAGACAGCATATTCGATACATAATGTCTGCGTGTAAGAGGCTGCTTTACTTTGTAAAGCACCGGAGCTTATGGACGCACGTTCGGAGGAATGTCACAACATGGTCTCCTGTTGGAGCTGCCTTCAATGCCAGACCTCACAGGAGACTGAACGTCTTCGAGAAAAACGTGGTTTGTATTTGTCTAAAATGTGTTTGTTAAGATGCTGTTACTGCTACATGAATATACACAGCCTCAATGAAGTAATGCAAATAAAGTCTTTCATTTTCTGATTAAAAATGTGATGACATTCCCAGTCTGTGTATGTGTCTGTGTGTGTGTGACCTCTGGTTGCAGGGTTTGTTTGGGGTGCCAGAGCTGAGCTGTCCTGCAGGTTTCCAGGTGGTCACAGATGCAGCTCTGAAGAACACAGAGCGTCTGGTGGAAACAGCTTGTTCTTGTCCTCCGGGGGTTGAGACAGTAGAGACTTTTGACCAGCTCTCAGATGGTTTGTGTAAAGTGGCTGATCTGGTGAGTTCAACTCCCCAAATGTACTAAAACTTTGCAATATAAGTGACCTGTACACTTAATAATAATAGTGAGAGTATAGCACAGTTCACACAGCAAGTGCAACTCAAAGTGCTTTACATAATAAAATGAGAAAATACACATAAAAGACAGTATAAGATAGAGTAAATAAGATTCAAATACATAAACACACACTCACGCACACACATAAAAAAATACAAATTAGATCTGATACCAATTAATTAAATACAAGCTACAAAAATGCAAGTGTAAAAAGACTGGTTTTAAGATTTTGTTTGAAGCTGTCTACTGAATCAGAGAGTGACTGATGTGCTCTGGAAGGCTGTTCCAGAGACGAGGGCCAGTGATACAGAACGCAGCATCACCATACCTTTTAGTTCTACTTTGGAGGACATTTGATAGACCAAAGGTAGACAATCTGAGGGATCTGGAGGGAATGTATTTGACCAACATACCGGATAAATAGTCAGGAGCCAGTCCATAAAGAGATTTAAAAACCTAAAGTGTAATGTGTTGTTGATGTCTTGGTGAGGAGGTGTGTTGCTGCATTTTGGATCATCTGAAGTTTGCTTAAAGATTTCTTTGAAAGGCCTGAGAACAAGGCATTACAGTCATCAAGTCTGCCTGAGGTAAAAGCATGAACACGTTTTTTGATGTCTTCTTTAGATGCACATGGGCAATGTTTCTAAGATGGAAAAATGTCTCTCACTTGAGGTTCAAAACACAGGTCACAGTCAAAGATAACACCAAATTTCTTCATGCATTTTGCTCAGAGGGAGCTTTTGTAGATGACTATTAAATTGAAATTGCCTTTCTTTTGATCCAGTTATTAGAACTTCAGTTTTGTCCCTGTTTAGTTGCAAGAAATTTTGGGACATCCTGGTTTTTCAGTTGGGCTTGTATCATCTGAAGAGAATGAGATATACAGCTGAGTATCGTCAGTGTAGGAATGGAAATCAACTTCATGCTCTTTTATGATATTTCCCAGAGGCAAAATTTAACACTTGTTGCTTCTAAAACTGTGCTGCTACCTATGACTCGTTTATTGTGCATCTTATGCTTCGTATGTTATATGCAGAGCTGTAAGCCAACTGTCATTTTCCTCCTAATACAGGCAGATTTTGTTAAAGTAGCACATCCAGATCCAGCATTTCGCGAGGCTGCAGAGAAGACGTGCATAGAGATTGGCACAGTTGTGGAGAAGTAAGAGGCACCTTTTACGAAATCCTTTCAAAGCTGTACAGTGCTAGTACTAAAAGACATTTTTCTGCAAGCCTCATTTGAGACAGATCTTGAATTGCACATAAGAGATGTTCATGTTTGCTGGTTTTGTGTTTCAGGCTAAACACTAATGTTGAACTATGCAAGAGCCTAAAAATATTGCTTGACAACCCGGACGTTGTGGCTCAGCTGGACCCTGATACAAGGTAATTTTTACTGCCATCTTAGTCAGTATATGGATATAGGATTTATTGTGTTTTTCTCTCCATAATTATATCAATATCTATGTTAAAATTATCTTCAGTTGTGGCAAGTTATGGATTTATTTCTGCCTTTCCAGACGAGTGGCAGAGTTGTTCATGTTCGACTTTGAAATCAGTGGAATTCATCTCGATGACAAACTGGTGAGATGTTCATAAGTTATTTATAACACATAAAGATTTAATATATGTATACACCTCTCACCTCTGCAGTGTGATATATTTACTGATCTTGCTGCTGTTTTTTCTCCGCAGAGGAAGGAGGCAGTCGCCCTTCACGTGAAGCTGTTGGATCTAAACAACGAGTTCCTGGTTGGCTCTCACCTGCCTAACAGAATTGCGAGGTCTGCCATTCCTGAGCATCTACACGTACACTTTGCAAGTGAAGGAAGCTTCATACAAGTTGGGGGATTACATGCAGACTCCCCTGATGATTTGGTATGTCACTGGAACATTTCTCCCTTTTGCTCAGCAGGTGGCGCCATTGTCATATGTCAAATTATAGGACTGGCAGGTTCAAAATTTTAGCAGCCCATTCTGCCCTGAATGATAATAAAGTCTCTCTCAAAATGCTAAAAAAAAGGTGTTTGAGAGCATTTTTATTGATGGAATATTGGCTCCAGCCTCCTGGTAGCATTTGCTGAGCACTAAGCAGTTGCAGTACCTATAAAATCTGTCCAAATATTCTCTCTCTCAAAATGACTAACCTAAATTTTAGCAGTTTTTCTATCATAATATAATAGTAGCATTGCCAGTGTCTCTCATGAAGGAAGCTAAAAGCATCACCCAGACAAATATTACAGTAGGGACCAATATGACAGCAAGGCACAGTCAAGAGCACAGTCAAAGGCCCATGAAAAGGGACACTTTACATTAACATATCATGATCTGCAGGTAAGAGTAAATTGTCATCTCTTGATTTACCCTGAAACTCTCGATTAGCAGATTGTATTTTTCCTCTTCACGCTTGTTGATAAGTTTCTTTTTAAAAGCTTTGCTCTGTCCTCTTTTCCACTTGCAGGTGCGAGAAATTGCCTACAGAGTTTACCTTTACCCAAATTCAGATATAATGGAGTGTCTGGAAGAGCTGCTGAAATGCAGATTCAAACTGGCCAAACTGGTAGGCTACGACTCCTACGGACACAGAGCCCTGAAGGGAACAATGGCCAAAACACCAGGTTAATTTGTCTCTTTGCTTCAGCATGATTAGCATCAATATACGGTAATTAGTCAGTGCTTTAACTGAGTGGTTGTAATTAATACTTGAGAATTAGCTACACAATCATTCTAGATGAATCATTTTACGAGCTACAGAAATTATTTTTCTCTGCTGCTCTTTTTGTGCCGTTGGCAGCTTGTCTCAAATAGTTTTACATGTTGTAACTTTAATTTTATTGCCCTTTGCAGAGACGGTGATGAGCTTTCTTCAGCTGCTAACAGACAAACTGTCCGACAGGTACAGTCTGCTCTTGAAAGTGTTCAGTATTCTGTTAAGGGGTTCTTATCATGATCTGATTTTTGTTTTTTATGTTGTCTTTAAAGACTGTTGTGTCATTGAAGACTATTAAATCAGTGCTTGTTATAATAATAAGATGGTACATGATGCCCAGGAGTTTCCTGAAATGAGTGACCCATGGATTTATTTTCTCTGGGTGGTTGTGATCTGATTATTTCTTGTCACTTTTTGACTGTTCACATTCAGAGGGCCACAGACGTTTTGTGTTGTTAGCCTGTAGGGATGCACGATTTTGGATATTTTGCCAATATGTAACAACTAATTTGACCAATAACCATACCGATACATCCACTTTTTCCCCACCTAATTTTAGAGCTCTTGTAAGTGACGATTCTCAGACATCCAGGTCATCGTAATCATAAGTGCTGTATCGTAGACAACTGGACTTGCTTGAGTTTCAAGAAGATGTTTGCCTCTCATCCAAGAGGCTTCAGTTCAGTTCTGCTTTCATTGCTGACATTACCAATCTACCACCTCCATTGTTTTTTGCTGGCCTTAGTTTATTTATTTATTTCTTGTTTAAAGTAAATCTCGAGCATGGACTCCCTCCTTGTCACATTCCCTAGGCCTTTTTTTTAACATCGTGATCCCTCAAACAGTCCAAAAAGAAGCACATCAGTTGCACCTGACACTCTCCAGGGCCTGTCCAGGGTGTTTCCCTGCCTTCAGCCAAATGCATGCTGGGATAGGCTCTGACCCCTGAGCAGAGATAGGTGGCTAAAGACTGGAATGAACGCCTCAAGTCAGTTAGCTCTTAACTCTTTGTGCTTTCCTTTTTAATCTTACAGAACAGCCAAAGACTTTACGATGATGAGGAACATGAGGAAAAAACTCAACCCGCGTAATTCTGTGAGTCTCGTTTTTTCACACATTATTCACTTTCAAGATTGTTTTCTTGCAAATATTACACATTACCTTCGATTTCTGTGCAGTCAGGAAAGATTTAAAGTGATGTGCGGGTTAACATAACTTATTTTCATTTTATTTTAGACTGATAATTCAGTTTTATCTATTTTAGTGTAATTTGTTTGATATGACCTGTAAATAAAACACTCCTGGTGCTTTCAGGAGCTCATGCCATGGGATCATCCGTACCTCAGTGGTGTCCTGCGTGCTGAAAGGTGAGTAGATGTTATCCTCTCTCTTATTTTTCAGCCTGCTGTAACTTGATAAAGTCATCTCGATCAGTATCTCTGCAATTTTTTTTTAGATGTTTGTAATTCCATATTTCACCAAGGTGTAAGTTATTACTGGGTCTCAGCTCATCCTCAGGTGTCAGACTTTACAAAAGGTGTTAAGGGAGAAGCATGGGAGTTGTCTGAATGTTCTCTGCAACTCTTTTCTCATCCAAGACAATATGATCTGGTGTAATCTCCTGCCTCAGCCTGTTATTGTTTTTTAGAGTGTGTTGGATCACTTTGGGGAGAGTTTGTGTTCAGGCCCTGAATCACAGTGTGTGTTAGGTCCCAGCATTATATGACCATTAGGTTCCAGTGTATTTTACAGCCTCTGAAAAACATTTGAATGTCACATTTGACATGTGGCTACATTACTGTGGTCAAACTGTTGCTTTTAGACATGAAGACTACACTTTATTTTCATTTGTTGTCTTGTTTTAATGGTGTTTTTGCTCGTTGCCTAATTTAATTTCTCTTTCCTTCCATCTGAATTTGAAGAATCTTGTTCGCTTTAGTAGTCGTAATAGTAGTAATTGGTAAATATAAATAGCATGTATTTTTTGGGCCATAAAATTTGTATTTGTTACGTATCTGTATTTCTCCATCATTGTCACATAATGTGACAATAAAGCTGTATTTAGAGGGCACATGTTGTCTAGCAACACAATGCTGCTCAGGAATTGTTGACTTGTAAACTGTATTGCCAGCAAAGTGAAAGCCAACTGCTTGGTGCTTCACCTCGCACAATATATGTTTTTTGGCACTGTGTCTGCAATAATAATGATAATGCATTTTATTTATAGGTGCCTTTCAAAGCACTCAAGGACACCTTATAAGACACAGTTAAAAAACAAGCAGCAATGCATCCATAGATCATAAAATCAAACAATGTGGTTATATACAATGATAAGTTAATAAAATGACTTGACAAAAATCACGGTTACAAAAATGTGCTATAAATTCATCATCATAAAGTCATCATCAGTGCAAAATTAGTAGCTTCCTCTTGGATGTGTGCTGCTTACAGTCTGGCACTTGGTCGCTACCTTTTTATTAAGTCCCAGCCTCACCTGCACACTCTGCCCAGGAACGTCCTCAATGCGAATATGTATTTCCTGGGATAGCAAAGGCATGATGTGCCTTATTCCCCTGCTGATTGGCTAGTAGTCGTTGCCTTTGTTGCTTGGGTTGGTTAAGGTTGGGGTAAGAACGTCAGGGTAAGCCAATCAGAGGCAGAGTAAAGGGGGTTATACCTACATTACACTATTTCAATTTCAATTTTATTTACACAGCCCAATATCACAAATCACAATTTGCCTCAGAGGGCTTAACAGCATACGACATCTCTCTGTCTACTTTGGACCCTCAGTGGATAAGGAAAAACTAGGGAACACAAATTTGCCTGCTGGACGCAACAAAATAAGACGAAAATAAGAACATACAAGCAGAGGGTAGGGCGTGTGCAGATAAATACACCGCCGCACACTTGTAGTGGGTCATGAGAGATGATTTAGAGCAGTGGTTCCCAACTGGTGGGTCACAGTTCAAAAATGGGCCACAGGTCCATTCTGAATGGACCACAAGTGACTCGCAAATGTGTCAAGTTTGTAAAAAAAAACACTTTATTTTGATACAGTGAATATCTGGCACAGAGCTTTTATTTTGAAGTGCTGTTTCCTGCTGTAGAGTGAGCTACTCAACAGAGACAGCAAACTAGCTTGAGACATGGTCAAACTCAAGTATAACACTGAATATTTTAAACTGTGTGGACCTCGAACTGATGACTAAGGAGAAATCTGGACCCCATGGCTGGAACGATTGGGAACCACTGATTTAGAGAGATTACTTTTGTTTGTCCTGCATATTATACCTTTAAACAGCTGATCTGAGGGATTTTATAACTTTGCTTAATGTGGACATTCACATCTCCAGTGACTGACGATGGAGCTGAAACAGTTCAATTAACCGGTCGTTAATTAAGGAAATAACTGTATGAATGTTAAACATTCGCAGCTGTTGAGGCTATTTTCTGTTTTTGTTAATCCAAAACCTTTTTGATTGTTCTCTGGACGAGAGCAGAGAATGGAAGACGTGGAAAAAATAATCAGTCTGGTCATTGTTTTTTAATTCAATAAAAATTGTTAGTTGCTGCACTTACCAACAGCTGCTTTTTATGTCGTAACAGTTTCAAGCTGTTTTCATCTTGTTACCGGAACACTTGTTTTCATGCCTTTTATTGGACAGATCCATGAGAGAGATAACAGGAAATGAGGGAAGGGCGCGATGGGGAGCAACATGCAGCAGAAGTCCCGGCGCCTTGTTTCTGAAACTTACTTAAACAGTAATCATCTTTGGCATTCAGCGGCTCAGTCTTAAAAAAATCAAGCTGATATATTCTAAGTTAAGCGATTAGCCCCTTTGAGTGTCTCCAACTTTTATAGATATCTCTGCTCTTAATGAACTTCACTTTTCCTTCCCAGCACTCTTCAGAGACTAGTAACATGTCGGGCCAAATGTTCCAGAGAAGTTTTAAATAAATCTTTATTGCAGACATTATGGATCCCTCATGTGTCCTTTTGACTCAAGCGACCACCAGATTCTGTGTGCGTGTGTTTCACCATGTGTTGGTGACTGTTCCCAAGGCTGCTGAGGAGATGTGGATCTGTTTGCTTGTCCTCGTCTCCGTCATGCTAGTCTTCTCCTGTTTGTGGTTTTGGGCTCTGCTAGTTGGCAGGAGCCTCCTAAAGAAATGTAGGATGCAGTCTGATTGCATTAAAAAGCGGTTTCCCCCGAGCTGCTTCTGTTTTCTGCTACACAGAAGTTTACACATGCACACACACACACACACACACACACACACACACACACACGCAGCCAACAGCTCTCGCACAAAAACACCAGTTGCTATCTTGTGCTTTTTCTCTCAATCACTCACTCAATCATGCTCACTTTATCTCTGCTTTTCCATCATTTGAACTGGAAACTGTTCAAACCATATTGAAATGAGGTACAGATTGTGTGTGTGGTAAACAGAGTCGTGCTCAGCAGCAGTCTGTTATTCATCACTGATAATACACTCGATGTGGTGTTCAAGCTAAACAAGCGTTTTGGTTTGGTGGTCTTTATCTAAAGTGCCTCACAGCAGCATGAATGCAGCCATTTTAAGCATGGGTGGCCCTGCACTCGCTTTCAGCTCTGGCAGTCTTGCGGCTTTGTCCTACCAGTTGATATCACAGTCGTGTAACGGTCTGGGGAGTTTTAGCTAGACTGCTCTTGAGCCTGCAAGGCGACGTGCAGGATTATGTGGTCAATTGAAATAGTGGTGTCACTGGAATGCTTTTATTTATCCTGTCCTGTAAATAAATGTGTGTGAATCTGCTGTAAGAGGAGCCGTCTCCAGACACGTGGTAATCTTCAGTCATGTAACGCTTTAAATAATAAAATCCTTTGTTCTGGTTTATGTTTTGCTCATGGCAGGTACAACATCGAGCCCAGTCTGTACAGTCCATATTTGTCTCTGGGCGCCTGTATGGAGGGTTTGAACAACTTGTTCTCTCAGCTATACGGTGTGTGTCTCATGTCCGAACACCCCAGTGCTGGAGAGGTGTGGAGCGAGGATGTCCGCAAACTGGTAAATCTTACTAACAGTGCAAAATGTCTGGGATAGTTTTTGATATGTTGAAGTCTGTTTCATGTCCCACATTAAACCAAAAAAGTTCTTTTACTATGTGGTATTAAACGTCTGCATTTCAAAGATCAAAGTTTTACACCACTGTGTGTGTGTGTTTAATGTGTCTTCGTGTCTGTGTGCGTGTGTTCCCAGGCTGTGGTACATGAGACGGAGGGATTACTGGGATATATCTACTGTGACTTTTTCCACCGACAGGATAAACCTCATCAGGTGTGCATACACACGCTCAGCTACATCATTTTTGCTGTTTTTTCATGTTAATTTCTCCTTTGAAAAGAGGGCTGTCCATATTTTAAGACCTTGTTAGTGTTGTTTATTTTAAACTGCAGACTTTTTACTTTCCAGATTAGCTTTCAGATCAAATATTCTCTATTGGCATAAAATAAGTAAGCACATGTTACTGACACGCTGCAGTATGGAACCTTGAAAATGACGAGATGTAGTAAAAGGTTACCAGACGAGTCAAAAATATAAAAGAATACTTCAATAAATCTTATTGTTAAACAATTTAAAGAGTGAAAAACATGTAAAACTTCGGACTTAAATGTCCCAAATAGTAGATTTAAAGAAAAAAAGGCCTCTAATCAGTGTAATATACTTGTAGTTGCGATCAGTGACATGCACTTATCTTGTTTTCTTAATTAAATCAGTGGCAACATCTACGTTATGGTTTTTCTCTATCAATCTCACCTTCCTTTCCCCGACTTCCTCATCCACCAGGACTGTCACTTCACCATCCGTGGTGGCCGCTGGTGCCAGGAAACGGGTCAGTACCAGCTTCCTGTTGTGGTGCTGATGCTGAGTCTGCCCCACCCGACCAAGAACGCCCCCACCCTGCTGACGCCGGGCATGATGGAGAACCTCTTCCATGAGATGGGACATGCCATGCACTCTATGTTAGGACGTACTCGCTACCAGCATGTGACAGGTGAGGTTTGAGCACAGACTGGATACTGCACTTTGCATCTATATAGAAACTACAAATAACTAAGTGGGGCATAATGAAGGATCGTACACGTGTATCATTCAGGAAGTGCTATTTAACCAGGCAGAGGATTTAGCACTGTATCTTTAAATAATGGCTGTGCACTCTCCAAATGTCACACAGTAGAATTATGTAGCTAGATATGGAGCTGTAGGTTATTCTTTACAGCGTGGCAAATTGAAAATGGGGGGTAATCTGATTTTTAAGTGTGAGCCCTGAGGAGAGCTTTAGATTATTCTTGGCTACCAAAGTCATCATCCAATACTGTTTCCCTTGTCAGATAAAGTTGATGGATATCTTCTCCAGTAATTCAAGCTCCCAAAAGTATTTATTTTACACAAATAACAGTATCCATTAACTCAGCTGGAGGCTGTTTCCTCCGTAAAACCATGTTTACACCTGTTTAGACATGCTGCTTAAATTACAATTGTGTCTGAAAGCTCACAACAGTTGCATTACGAGTAACTCAATGCTGTCTTTTTCACTCCTCTAAATCTCCTTTTATATCAGATGTTGTGTTTGATATTACATTAAAAAATCTGTGGATGGTTAAAATGTCGTACAGCACTGAGCACACTGCAGTTGTGTGTCACATCAGCTCTTGTCTGGTTGTGCCAGACCATGCTTTGTTTTAATTTTGGGGTATTTATATCTAAGCTCTGACGTCTCTCCTCCAGGAACCAGATGTGCGACTGACTTCGCTGAAGTCCCGTCCATCCTCATGGAGTACTTTGCCACGGATTATAGAGTCATCAGCCAGTTTGCACGCCATTATGAAACAGGACAGGTACACCTAAACCCTCAGAATTAAGACCAATGTAAAGCACTGTGAAAAACTGTGAATCTTTGCAGATAGACATTTTCCAAAACATTGTAATTATAGTTATATTAACATTTTAATGTCTTAATTTAGCTGTGATGTTATAAGTTAAGATGATGTTATGCCAGTGATGACACTGATTTAAAAAAGTCGGACTTGGGTGAGATGAAACTGATGTGTCATGTCTGTGTCTGTGTCATTGTGTTCTCAGCCTCTGCCTGAGAGTATGGTGTCCCGCCTGTCTGAGTCGAAGAAGGTGTGTGGAGCAGCAGACACCCAGCTGCAGGTACAATGACCAACCTCACACACATTGCTCACAATTATCCATCTCAATTATCTATCATCTAAAAGGATGTTTCTCTTTTACAAGAAGACATCGCCGCAGGTAAACGAGTGTTATCTGATGAACAATCCTTCAATTACAAAAGCCTCCAGTCCTTTAATGTGGATCCAGCCTCTTGTTGTTGAAAAGGGTTACACAAGCTTCTTATTAACTCAGTGTTCGTGAAACCAACACTGAGTTTGTCAGATGTTACTGGTTAAATGAATTTGAATTTATTGAAAGGATAACCCCTTGAGATGTAGCATCTCATTTTCAAGGGGGTCCCCAGACACAAATACAGAAAAAAACTGCATAACATAATAAACATACACTACAAATACACAGATACAAACATCAGATGATTTAACCATATCACACTTTTTTCCTTTGTCAAAGGCTGCTGGTTGGGGTAATCTGTCTTTTAGCTGGTTTAACGGACAAGTTTTACACAGTCCTAAACTGCTTTAGATTTGTTATTGATGGTAAATAAAGAAATTCTGGCTCTGCAGTGATGATGAATGTATTTCCCCCCTTTTTATATGCAGACCTCTACCACTGCAGAGCAGCACTGGGCTCGATTTATCTTATTCTAATATTAAAGAAGACCTATTATGCTTTTGAGTTTCTTCTAGAACATGTTTACATGCTTTAATGTTCAAAAAACACTTTATTATCCTTACACTGTCTGTGCTGGAGCACCTGTAAACTCCCTCTGTCTGAGATGCTCCTTTTAGCACCTGTGTCTTTAAGCCTCTCTGCTGAAAAAACCCAGTCTGCTCTGATTCATTCGTTCATTCATTCATTCAAATTTTTATTTAAGACTCGGGAAATCAATTGAGGGAGAAACACGTATTCAGTGATGCTGTGCATGAACAAAGACATTAAAACAATCAGTAAGCAAACAAAGAACCATCATGCATATCAATTAAAACAAATGAAATCATTCAAAACAACAATAACAATAAATGAGCTCTAAAAGCATTTAGACTCAATTAAAACAAGATCAGAAATAAGGCACGTAAACCGCCATAATGGTGGCAGAGTGTCCAAGTTTAAGGTCTGCAAATAAAAGTCTGCACAACTGGACATGTTCGAGAAGAAATATGAGCTGAAATCAGGGGGAAATTAACATCATCAGCAACCAAGATGACACATGTAGGCCAGGTAACGTAAACACTTACAGTCGCGTGTGTGGAGCTGATGACGCCACGAAGAACTCCATCACGAGCTGACGCCAGCTTGTCTTAAAAGTAGGAAAAAATGTGAAAATGAAGTATCAGAACGATCTAAAGCCTGAGATTTGCGATCACAGGTAATACTAAAATATGACATTATATCATATAAAAGACACGCAATACAGTGCAGCTTGATAGGTCCTCTTTAAGGTTTTTATGTGCTGGACTGATTTGGTATGATCTTTTTTTTCCTGGACAGATCTTCTACGCTGTCTTGGACCAGATCTACCACAGCAAACCTCAGAACCGCTCCACCACAGACATCCTGAAGGAAATGCAGCAGAAATACTACGGCTTGCCTTACACGCCCAACACGGTACATCCCCAACTCTCTTTGTGCTATTTAACACACTGTCTGACTTTTTTCAAGTAGCTTGTCATTGCGATACTGTGTCTTTGGATTGATTACAGCCTTTTCAGTTTTGATCATTTGGGGAACGTTCTGTGCACGAATCCCTGAAGACTCTGCTCTCACTGCTCAGTTGATCACGGCACAGAAACAACACAAACTTGACTGAGAAGTCCTTTTAGCTTTCTACTCCAATTCTCCTTCTTTCCTTTCTCTCTGGATTTATATCTTTTACCCAGGCACAGCAGCGTTTAAGGGATTAAAGCCTCTTTTTTTTTTTTGAAGCCCTGCTAAAATAACAAAGCAGAGGTATACTTTGAATGAGCTCTCCCCGGGGGAAATATTTGAAACTCTTCCTCCTGGTCCTTTAATGAAAAAAGCTCTCTATTTCCCCAACTTTTGCAGCTGTGGGCGAGGGGATGAGGCCAGGAGGGAGAAGGGAATCAAACACACAGTCATAATTTAGCCAGGAATGGCCTTCATAGAGCATTTACTCTGAGCTATAATTATGTGGGGTGCCATCAGGAATAGAGATTACAGAAGTGCTGTATATTCTTCCAAACGTCAGTGTACTGGCCCATGTTTCTCCTCCCAGAAGTCCTCCCACTCTTCTGCTTGTGCCCTGCTTTGTAGCTGCCTATCCAGAGATTGTGGTTTATGTTATATAGTTTCCCACTGTCGCAGTCGTTCCTCTTCAACTTCTCAAACCCCACTGAAAGCTCTAACAGACACTTTACGTCCGTGTGCACAGCTAACCACAGCAGGATTGTTTTCCTTATTTGAACTCCACAGAAACTGAAGATGATTGCAGTTTCTTGAGTTGGATCAAGTGAAAACAGATTTGTTTAGATCCCTCAGTGACCGGCGACAGACTCTACTTAAACTTGTTTTTTTTTTTTCGAATTTGCCCTCTGTGTCTCACTTTTCACCCGTCCTCATGGAAACACAGCTCAGGAAAAGTTTCCACAGCAAAGTGAACATTTGAGTGGCTAATAGGTTATGGAGAGCCACAGATTATAAACATTAGGGTGACGCTGACATGTGTATAGTTTATAGAGCGGGGCTATCATTTCCCGCTGTGTGCAGAGAGAGAGGATCAGCTGTGAGTAACACAGACCACATGCTCACCCTTGAGCCGAAGATAATATTTGGAAATAAATGGCAGAAAGCAAGATGTTCTGCTGGCTGTGTTGACATTTCCTCAATCTGCGATTCTTGGCTTGAATGCTTCAGGACCAAAGCGGGCGCTCCTCTTTTTTTAATGAGCAGTGTTTTCAAGCATGTGTAATCCACACTCTCATAAAAATGTGGAAATGCACCTTAGCACCAGGAACAAAAAAAACACAAGTTGAGTTTAGAAAGAACATAAAGTCTTTTATCTCACATACAAGAGGAACAGAGTAAAAAGCCTGTGCTGACTTTGTCTCCTTTTGTATGTATGGATCAAAAGGATATCTCGCTGACATGTCACCCACTTGCACTCTCACAAAAGTCGACATTAATCATTTGATGTAAGGCAAAGGGATTGGAGACAAAGAGGAGCTTGGAAGTCAGAAAATCATTTTCGTGCCGCATTTTGACGAGTGTTTAAAGCATCTTGTCAAAGACTCAAACTGAACACCAAAGTAAAAAGCTGCCTGTTTGTTTCCAGAGTGTCAGCGACTGTAAACCACAGAGGAAATACAATGAAGTCAAAGAGCTGGCTGTCCCATAGGTTTAAAACTCAAAAATCAAAAGTTAAGTTCAAATTAAAAACCATTTTTTATGCATCAGAACATTTTTCTGTCAGCGTGTGAATTAACTCCGAACAGCTAAAGCAGACTTCTAACCTGCACGACAGCGAGGCACGACATGACCGAGGCACTGTATCACTGCTGCGTCCAGCTGACAAAGCAAATTCTGTCAACTTCTGCTTGCCTGTGGTTTTCTGAGCCAGAACTCCTCTCAGGAGAGCTTTTTACTCTTATTAAAGTCACCACAGCGCAGAGGAGTCTCGTCAACTCGACACTTTGGAGCTTAAGCATTTCTTACGCTGTTGGATCAAAGATGAGCAGCCCCCAGTTTAAGCTCTCACACAGCTGCGTCAAACTTTATTACACCTTGTCATCCAGTAACATAATTTTGAAGGTATTTATCTTCAAAGTAATAATATTTTATTTATATATTTTACCAGGTGTCTTTTTGTGATGCTGTTTTTTAATTAGTTGTCCACTTAGCAATATTTTAATTTAACCATTCTTTCATTACAAGGGCTTTAAACAGCTTCATGAATATAACAAATAATACATTTTTATCAGAATTAAAGCCCAATACCTTTAAGGATCCATTTCTCCGTGCTATACCTTCTACAGCTGACCTCGTGATGATGATTTTGACTTCATAATACCACCCTGTACATAATCAGATTAATCCAAATCTAATGGATACTTCTGATACATTTTATTAAGATCATTTTCTAAAGTATACAGTGCCTTACAACGTACAGTACAGGCCAAAAGTTTGGACACACCTTCTCATTCAATGCGTTTTCTTTATTTTCATGACTATTTACATTGTAGATTCTCACTGAAGGCATCAAAACTATGAATGAACACATGTGGAGTTATGTACTTAACAAAAAAAGGTGAAATAACTGAAAACATGTTTTATATTCTAGTTTCTTCAAAATAGCCACCCTTTGCTCTGATTACTGCTTTGCACACTCTTGGCATTCTCTCCATGAGCTTCAAGAGGTAGTCACCTGAAATGGTTTCCACTTAACAGGTGTGCCTTATCAGGGTTAATTAGTGGAATTTCTTGCTTTATCAATGGGGTTGGGACCATCAGTTGTGTTGTGCAGAAGTCAGGTTAATACACAGCCGACAGCCCTATTGGACAACTGTTAAAATTCATATTATGGCAAGAACCAATCAGCTAACTAAAGAAAAATGAGTGGCCATCATTACTTTAAGAAATGAAGGTCAGTCAGTCCGGAAAATTGCAAAAACTTTAAATGTGTCCCCAAGTGGAGTCGCAAAAACCATCAAGCGCTACAACGAAACTGGCACACATGAGGACCGACACAGGAAAGGAAGACCAAGAGTCACCTCTGCTTCTGAGGATAAGTTCATCCGAGTCACCAGCCTCAGAAATCGCAAGTTAACAGCAGCTCAGATCAGAGACCAGATGAATGCCACACAGAGTTCTAGCAGCAGACCCATCTCTAGAACAACTGTTAAGAGGAGACTGCGCCAATCAGGCCTTCATGGTCAAATAGCTGCTAGGAAACCACTGCTAAGGAGAGGCAACAAGCAGAAGAGATTTGTTTGGGCCAAGAAACACAAGGAATGGACATTAGACCAGTGGAAATCTGTGCTTTGGTCTGATGAGTCCAAATTTGAGATCTTTGGTTCCAAACGCCGTGTCTTTGTGAGACGCAGAAAAGGTGAACGGATGGATTCCACATGCCTGGTTCCCACTGTGAAGCATGGAGGAGGAGGTGTGATGGTGTGGGGCTGTTTTGCTGGTGACACTGTTAGGGATTTATTCAAAATTGAAGGCACACTGAACCAGCATGGCTACCACAGCATCCTGCAGCGACATGCCATCCCATCCGGTTTGCGTTTAGTTGGACGATCATTTATTTTTCAACAGGACAATGATCCCAAACACACCTCCAGGCTGTGTAAGGGCTATTTGACCAAGAAGGAGAGTGATGGAGTGCTGCGGCAGATGACCTGGCCTCCACAGTCACCGGACCCGAACCCAATCGAGATGGTTTGGGGTGAGCTGGACTGCAGAGTGAAGGCAAAGGGTGCACCTCAAGGAACTCCTTCAAGACTGTTGGAAAACCATTTCAGGTGACTACCTCTTGAAGCTCATGGAGAGAATGCCAAGAGTGTGCAAAGCAGTAATCAGAGCAAAGGGTGGCTATTTTGAAGAAACTAGAATATAAAACATGTTTTCAGTTATTTCACCTTTTTTTGTTAAGTACATAACTCCACATGTGTTCATTCATAGTTTTGATGCCTTCAGTGAGAATCTACAATGTAAATAGTCATGAAAATAAAGAAAACGCATTGAATGAGAAGGTGTGTCCAAACTTTTGGCCTGTACTGTATGTACCCAGGTCTCCCTTGAAAATAAGACCTCAATCTCAATGAGATTTACCACGTTAAAGCTGCTGTAGTCATTATTTCTATATAAACAAGGCGTCACATGGCTGTATAATTAGAAAGGAGTTGCTTATAGTGATGAACCCGCAGAAAAATATCAGCTCTGTGGAGCGTTTTAGCGTATTTTAATTCATTGTTTTGGTTTCATGGCCCATAACTTCACTGTGTCAGTTCACTTTCATTGCTCTCATGGGCGTCATTTTCAGGGAAAAGCTCTGTTAACCCACTGTACGCCACCTGCTCAGCACCAAACTGCAGACATTTATCAACCAGCTGGTGAACATAGTGGAACAATTAGCAGCTAAAGAGCGGGATATTTCTCTCAGGAATTAAAATATGATAAGTGATATGTGAAGCAGAGTGGATAGAGGAAAAACACAACTCCAAATAAGTGCTAATGTTACTTTGTACTGGATGTGTAAAAAGCAATTGTTTGCTAACAAGATAGGTGATAATATGTCAGTCTTGTTTACGGTTTGTTTCTGCTGCCCCCAAGTGGCCGAAAAACTTTTCTGCTGTATCAGGCATTCTCTTCATAAAAAGGTTTTGTTTGGAGCAAAGACATTAAAATAGATCAGGTTTTTCACTGAGGCTTGAAGATAATTTATGTACATAAGTTGTCTACATCCTTTTAAGTCAGACAATTATTTCACTTGCAGTTGGAGCATAAATCATTAAGACGTTGATTTTTTTTTTTTCATGTGGAGTTGGAGGGAGGCGTCTGCAGTCTGTTATGGTTTTGTTAAGTATGGCAGCTGCTGTCTTTCCTAAATGGCTGAATGTTTGAGTGTTTGCCAGCTGAATTCCCCCAGAGTCCCCGTCTGCAGAGATCATAAAAGAGCTCGTCTTTATAGATATGGAGAGGGGCCCCCGCAGGCAACTGAATGGAAAACAGAGGAGAGCAGAAGGGGGCTTTCTACCATTTAGGAATTTCCATGTTTTGTCCTTTAAAGGAGGAGCTGGCAGGTTGTGATTTAATGTTTTGTTACAGAGGTTTGTCGGAGGAAAAGGTGTATTTATTCCCACCAATATATTAACATCATAAAGAAACTGAGGCAGCTCAAAAGAAAAAAAAGTGTTTGACATTTTTGTCAGCAGACATTTAATAGTTTTGTGATTTAATTTTCATTATTATCCACTTCAGTGTAGTTGCAGTGACAGAATAGAAGGCTGACACTTACAAATTTGCAAATTTATGGAGATATTTTTATGCCAAGTTGCAGTTTCAGTTGTAGTTAACATCTCCAGCCTCACTTTGTGCTTTTTACGGGAATAGTTAGCCACGGTCATGGAACAGCTTCTCTTAACAAGTTTGTACGAGCAGAAACATTTAAGGCTGTGATATCTTCCCTCTGTCACACTGCTCACACGCCACACACGCACTCACACTGTAGCCAACAAACCTGTAACAGTTTTTCATTTTGTCAAAGAACATGTGTATAGTGTCATTTATGTGATTTCTGCTCTCACTCCTCGTCTCAGTGAGTTTGTTTTGTCACTTCCTGTCTGAGCGATGAAGAGGAACCTGTTGACGGCCAGATTATTTGCGTCTTCTCACTCAGGTGAGGGTGGTAATGTTCTCTTTTTTACATTTTTATCCTCCATAGGCATGGCAGCTGAGATTCGGCCACCTGATTGGCTACGGGGCCAAATACTACTCCTACCTCATGTCCCGGGCTGTGGCCTCCATGGTGTGGAAACAGTGCTTCGTTCAGGATCCTTTAAACAGGTGAGACAGCTACTCAAGGTTAAAAAAAAATACTCAAGTCCTCAACTTCCTACATACGACGAGCTTAAATTGGGTACGTGTTTTTACGGGAGGAAACTGTTGTTGAGGGTTTTTTTTTTTTTTTAAGATATTTCTGGGGGACATTTTCAGCCTTTAATGGATAGGACAGACAAGTGTGAAGGGGGGAGAGAGAGGGAGTGACATGCAGCAAAGGGCCACAGGCTGGAGTTGAACCCGGGCCGCTGCGGCAACAGCCTTGTACATGGGGCGCCTGCTCTACCACTAAGCCACCGACGCCCCAAAACTGTTGTTGAGTTGAACTTAATTGAGTTTTGGCTGAATCAACTAAGTTTCACTCTTTATAGAATGACTGAAAACTGAGCCTCCTTTTCATAGCACAAAAATATAACATGTAACTGTAACACAATGGTAGATTCTTTTCTCTAATGGGAAAACTCAGTGCCAAGCTAAAAAAGAAAGTGTTCTGAATCTGTGGCAGCCTCGGATAAATGTGATTAAAGTGTGTCTCTTTTTTTTTAAAGACCTTTACTGTGAAAGGGTCGTCCCAAACGAGCAAAATCAAAGTTTATCGATAAGATCCTCTAAAAGTGATTGTGACTCACCAAACTCTACTAAATGGAAGCACAGCAAATGAAAGTAGGCTTCATGTTACAACTTTGTCAAATACTCAAACCTTTTGCACAGTTTGCATTAAGATACAGAATAGTGAAGGTAAAATAAATAAGGGAAATTAATGTCCTTGCACGTTTTAATTTACACAGGCTGAAATAGTGAAGATTTTCAGTGGGAAAAACACGAGCAGTGGTTGTAGAGCCGTTTCCTGCTCATGGTGGAGAATTACAAGTGTGCCCCAGTTTATCTTTGATGGTGCCCTCCCCTCTAATGCAGAGTGCCCTCCACACCTACTAATGTGTCTTCATGTGCAGTGACACCATAGACTGTGTGAGTGACACTCAGTGGTGAAGGGCTAATGAGGAATACTCTTCAGTTATCCTTAAAGTAAAGCACCCACTCTTGAGAACTGGGACAAATCATGTCCTCAAAACAAAGGAATACTTCGCACATCTGTTTTCAAACAGGTGCAAAGGAACAAGAAGAATAAAACTTGTGAAAAAAAAAAGACGTTTCTGCTACTAGACCATCATCATCAGGCAGCTGTCTTAGGTTGGCTTGATGAAGGTCTAGTCACCGAAATGTGGCAGAAGCATTAAAAATCGTTATTTTTGCAAGTTAGACAGTGTGCGGGAGTCTTTTTTTGACGAATCATGTCCTAAAAAAAAAAAAAACAAACTTAAAAGTTATAACTTATCAACACACTAATTTTGTTTCTGGGGTAAAATGTTCTTTTTAAAGGATTTGTCTGTATGAAGAAATATGATCTTATACAATATTTTGATCTGCTTTCATTTTTTTTTACTTCTAAACTTGTGCTGTGCCAGAAAATACCCACGTCCCAGGCAAGAATTCACAACTTTAAACAATTAAAAAATGTATTAAAAGCCTTCAAAATCTAAAACTAACAGTTCGTACTGAAAACATTTGTGTAAAAATGAACTGCTATGGGGCGTCAGTGGCTTAGTGGTAGAGCAGGCGTCCCATGTACAAGGCTGTTGCCGCAGCGGCCCGGGTTCACACTTCGCTATCCTATCAATTAAAGGCAAAAAATGCCCCAAAAAATATCTTTAAAAAAAAAATGTACTGCTATAATCATTTTTGTTTTAAGGTATAATTTTTTGTGAAAAAGTTTGCCCTTCAAAGATGTGCTCCAGATTTTTGTTAACTCTGTCAGATTTCTACAAAAATACAATTTAATCAGGCATCAAAGGGATTAGCTATATCACACTGACTCCTGTCTTACTTCCTTGTCTCTAAAAAGGCAGGAATGCTGCTGAAGTACTGTTAAACTTTCTACTTTTCGATAAATTCATTATATAATATTGCTGTCAGGTGTGTGTCAACCATGACACGTCAACTATGTAGCCCTGCTAAATCATAACAAGATAAGAATTATGGATTACAAATGAGTATTTTGATTGGCATTAAGAGAACTCTAAGCAACTTTGAAAAATAAAATGGCTACTTGCTACAACTGCTGTGAAATTAATAAATATATGTAACTTTTTTGTCAACTCCGTCAGATTTTACCTCTGCTGTTAAAGAAAACATTAAATGTCTAGGAGGTTGGCCCATTACAATGTGTAATAGTCAAGACTTGATTTTTTATAATACATTTTCCAGCCTAATTGATAAGTACAAATCAAAAACCCAAACAGGTAAGTTTTTGTCCCAGTTCTTAACAGTAAGTGAAAGACAAGTCCTCCAAAACACCACGTACTACGTAATGTAAGTGAGGAACCTAATCTTCAACTTCAAAGCAATCTAATCTTATCAATATGTACCTGTAGTGTCTTTGTATAATGTTTGCAGGCATGTTTAGAGTCAGTAAAATCTTGGCACTGCTACTTCTTACATGATGGCATTGATGATGATTTTTTGATTGATTGTTATGGAATTGATTTTAATCATTTGCAACATTTGAATTGATTTGATTTGCATGACAGTGATGGAAATGACCAGTTCATTGACTCCATTTCCAATTAAAACAATCAAGTTGACAACAGTAGAACCGTGAGGTCGTGAAGTTCACTGAGGTGTGTTTTACAGCTCAGAGAAGTTATTAGTTCAGCTCCTGTACTTCCACAGAGATATGTTTTGATTAACTCACAGTCTACGCTCTCTTTTTATCCACTCGTATCCTTGTGTTCATAGTGAGAGACGCACACGCTGTAAAAGAGCAGCGTAAACCTGTTTTGCGTTTAGAGCGCAGAGACAGATGCATCCTGACAGGCCACCTTCCCCTGGATACTGTTTAGGCCTCTGCTGTCTGACATCGAACATGACGTTAATATGAAACTCACGCCGACTTGGCAGGTGTCTGCTGTAATTCACAGACACTCAGGAGCATCCAGACCCCCCCCCCCCCCCCCCCCCCCCCCCCCCCCCCCCCCCCCCCCCCCCCCCCCCAAATCACAAGTGTTCACCGCTGGACAAAGCATAAAGGCTTTGTTTTGAAAAACAAAGCGTCTCCAGTACCTCCATCGAGTGGAGCCCTGCAGCCTTCTCCCCCTGCCTCTCTTTGCTGTTCCTCTGTCTTCTTGTCTTCTCTTTTCCTTTGAGATTGTTTTAGTTCCACCTGCAGTTGTCAGATCTCTGTTTCCTGTCACCTGTCTGTTGTGAACAGGGAGCTTAGGAGACTTGGCCCGTGGGCTGCTAGTGGCAGCGGCAGAGAGTACAGGTGTCTGTAACCTTATCTCCTTCTCTTCTGTGTCTGTCTTTCCTTTGCTGTCTTTGTCAGGGACATGGGTGAGCGTTACCGTCGGGAGATGCTGGCCCACGGAGGAGCCAAGGAGCCCATGCTCATGGTGGAAGGTAACACGTCAGACCTTTTTTTTTAATCCCCAAAAAATACTGAAAGAACCATTTTATATTTACCCATAAAATTCAACGAATCACTTTCATTTCTAGTCACATCAGACTTAGGAATTGCACTCCTAGACGTCAGTTCTCCTCTATTTTTGGGCTCTCTGCTGACCTTTTGACCCCACAGCCTTCAGGCAACAGTTGTCCCACCTCGTACAGGACACCACTACCCCCCCCGGGCAGATTTAGCTTGTTTGGACCACAGTTTAACAGTTTTAGGTTTCCCCAGAGTTCATCTCCAGGTTTCCCTCAGTTTAGTTATTAAAGTGTCAGTCCATTAACTTCCTGTAGCTCCAGTAAATTGGTTGTGGAGTGTAATTACTGTTAAGTGATGCTGTTGAATTTGTTTTGACAGCTTGGAGGGTCAACTGCTGTCAAATTTTTTTGTCAGCTGTCTCATATGAGGCAGACAAACATCCTTGAGAAAAAACACAGATTACTAGTTACAATTATGTCAGTGGGAAAGTGTCCACGTGTAAAAAGTTGGATAATGAAGTGACTAATAGTGTTGTCATGATACGTGCATGATTTCTAGCTTAAAAAATAGCAATATTTGATACCGTGTTGGTGAAGACTCTCAGTTATCCAGGTCATGGCTATCTTAAGTGCTATATCGTAGGCAACTGGACTTTTTTTTTTTTTTTAGATATTTTTTGGGGCATTTTCAGACTTTAATGGACAGGACGGACAAGCGTGAAGGGGGGAGAGAGAGAGGACATGCAGCAAAGGGCCACAGGCTGGAGTGGAACCCGGACCGCTGCAGCAACAGCCTTGTACATGGGGCGCCTGCTCTACCACTAAGCCACCGGTGCCCCGGCAACTGGATTTCTTAAAAACGTTTCAGCTATTATCCAAGAGGCTGTAAGGCCTCTGTAAGGGTTCACACCCACATAGAGTTTTAAAGCCTACGACTCCGCACCAGTCTGTAAGAACTGAAGAAGCCTCTTGGATGAGAGGTGAAACGTCTGCAAGAAACTTAAAGGGATAGTGTACCCAAAAATGAAAATTCACCCATTTTCTACTCATCCATATGCCAATGGAGGCTCAGGTGAAGTTTTAGAGTCCTCACATCACTTGCAGAGATCAAAGGGGAGAGGGGGTAGCAACACAACTCCACCTAATGGAGGCTTACCGTGCCCCAGATTCAAATGTCTAAAAACACATCATTGAAACCACAAAATATCTCCATACTGCTCGTCCGTAGTGACCCAAGTGTCCTGAAACCCCGACATAAAAAGTTGTTTGGAAAAATGTCATTTGAACTCTGTTTTTAGCCTCATTGTAGCCTGTAGCTCTGACTGCCTGTCTGTATACCGCGTTCACTTTTGCACGCTTGCGCAAGACCGTGAGACATGGGCACCGCGTTCATGTGTGTTCATGTGCTTTCACTGGTCTCGCACACAAGCACGCACACGTGAACGCGGTGCACAGAGAGGCAGTCACAGCTACAGGCTACTGTACTTTTTATGTCGGGGCTTCAGGACACTTGGGTCACTACAGACAAACAGTATGGAGATATTTTGTGGTTTCAATTATGTGTTTTTGGATGTTTGAATCTGGGGCGCCATGAGCCTCCATTAGGTGGAGTTGTGTTGCTACCCCCTAACCCCTTGGATCTCTGCAAGTGTTGTGAGGACTCTAAAGCATATGGGTGAGTAGATAATGGCTGATTTTTCATTTTTGGATGCACTATCCCTTTAAGCAAGTCCAGTTGCCTACGATATAGCACTTAAGATTAATATTTGATACCATTTTTGATGCCACAGGGAAAAAAAATGACATTGAGGGCATTTAAAATTGTTATTAAAAAATAAATATAACAAGGCTGTAACATGACGATGACGACTTTTCTTGGTAGCAGCAGAGAAAAACAGAATGACTGTAGTAAACATTGACAATAGGAGAGAGTGAGAAGGTGCAGCTGGTAGTGTTGTATTCAGAATCATTGATAAATTGATAAATCTGTGTTTTTAATGACACAATCAAGTATTTTTTTAGTCCTTACTACTTTGACAGGTGGCACGGTGGTACAGTAGTTAGTATTGTCGCCTCACAGCGAGAGGGTTCCTGGTTTGAATTCAGGGTGGGGTTTCGAACTCCAGGATGGGGGAGCCCTTCTGTGCGGAGTTTGCATGTTCTCCCTGTGTCAGTGTGGGTTTTCTCCAGGTGCTCCAGCTTCCTCCCACAGTCCAAAGACATGCAGGTTAACTGGTGACTCTAAATTGCCCGTAGGTGTGAATGTGGGTGTGAATGGTTGTCTGTCTCAATGTGTCAGCCCTGTGATAGTCTGGCAACCTGTCCAGGATATACCCCACCTCTCGCCCAGTGTCAGCTGGGATAGGCTCTAGCAGCCCAGTGACCCCTTACTACATTTCTTTTTAAATTTTGTTACCAATTGTTAAAATAAAATGATGTAGAAGATTAGAGAGGAGGAAGAAATAAAGAAATTGCATAATTAAATTACATGAAAACAGAAAATATTATCATATTACAAGTACCATAAAACACCTCTGCCCCAAGTACTTGCTACTGATTGACCATCCGTTCTGGGAGATACTGGGTTCAAATAGTGGTTTATATATTAAGTAAGATAGACAAGGTTTCTCTGTCCGTTACAGTCCTTTAACCTCACCAGTAGAGTCTGTTTTCTCCTGAGGGGAAATTTAGCTCCAGTTTGTCATCAGACAGAAGCAGCTGTGCGTCTGTTAGTCATGTTGTAGTTTTTCTTTGAGGTGTTCACGGCTGCCGCTGTTGTGGTTTGGCTCCATCTGCGCTCAAGCTCCCTGAGTAGCACCTATTTACCGATTTAACACACCTCCCAATGTTTCTCATCTTTATTTACAAGAGCTTTGTCAACCCAGACACAGCCAGTCCTGCTGTGGTGTGAATTATCAAGTCCGCTCCCTCTGGCAGTCGCACACTGTTCATGCTAGTCCCTCACTATTCTGACGTCAGTTATTTGATCCGCTTAAAAAAAAAAAAAAAAAAAAAAAAAAAAAAAAATCTTAACTCAGTAGTGTTTTGCTGCCTTTCTTTTTTTTAGCACAGACAAAAATCCAGAAGGCAGGAAAGACAGACATGGATGATTACAGGTTTGAGCCCTGAGAACTGCTGACTCTGCAGGGCTGAAAACACAGACCGGTGCATTCCACTTTGTGTTTAACCAACATTTTTCAGCCATGCTAGCAGCATGGGTCTAGAGATGGTGGTGTCAGTCAGTTGGTCCATCACTTCCGTCCACACTGAAACATCTCAACAGATACTGGATGGACTGCCATGAAATGAAATATTCCCCTCAGGATCAAATTTGGTGATTCTCTGGCTTTTCAACCAGTGCCATCATCATTTGTTCAATAATTTTATTTAATGGTTTGAGTTCAAGGTCTAAAAAAAAGAACACAATCAGTAACATTGTTTACACTGTGCTACATTACAGAGAAATACAAAACTGTACTAATGAACCTTCATTAATATAGGCCTATATTTTATCTACAAGTGCGCGTCACACACTGAGCGAGCCGCCTGTTAATGACGCTGTGGGCTAATGGGCATGTAGCTACTTCCATGTTTCAGATGATACGTCACGTTTGTAGTCGACCAATGAAGATGAGTTTACATATCACCTTGGGTTCGTCCTTCACCTTCTCAAAATGATCCCACACTTTGGATTTCCTGCCCGACATGTTATTAACTAGCCTGTGGAATAACTGCAGGTACCAGCCCTGGAAATTAATGTGACTCCTGTCTGACTGCTGAGCGTGGACACTTCCTGTGTCTGTCCTTTCAAATTAAATTCCCACATGGTCCAGTCATATAAGTTTGATTTATTTTGAAAGGCGCAGCTCCTCCTCCTCCTTTCACGTTTTTGACCTCTCTGGTCGACTGACATTTGGTCGACTCTTAGGGGCCAGCCCTAGACAACATATGGAAAAACAATTTAAAACAAAGATTCTTCTTTTTCTTTTTCTTTTTCTTTTTTTTTTTTAACTTTACTCCCATGGTACTTTGCTTTGTGGTAACCCATATGTTTCCAGCTGGCAATTTTAAGGCTGGTGTTGCGTGTGCATTGCAAACATTACGGGGAAAAGAGTCATTTTTCTCTCAATGAAATACATAAAAGCTCATGGCAGCTGGCTGCTAGTGATGGAGACAGAAAAAGGATGTAAACGGGAAGCACCAGTCGTTGAAGTCACCTGCTTGAAGTAGATTGATGATTCCTGGTCATGTAATGTTTGAAACAGCTCTACTGCATTTTGAAACAGTCAATAAAAGTAATTAGATAGCCAAGCTGTTTGTTTTAGCAGTTTATATTCATGTAATAAACATAAATATATCAATTAGAGGTTAATCTGCAAGAGAAATAAAGAAAAAGGGGAGAATATGTTATAATAATTATCCGTAAGTGATCAGTTTGACCTGGACAGACATGATTGCCATTAATGGTTTCCACTGTATCTGCAAAACTAATGACATCCCCACCAATGTCTGCTGTACTTTGTGTTTCAGTAGCAAATCGTAGCATGCTAACATGCTAAACTAAGATTCTGAACATGTTCGGAAATATACCTGCTAATCATCAGAATATTATTATCATTATAAGCAGGTTAGCATGCTAATGTTAGCATTTAGCTTTAACCTAAGCACAGCCTCACATAGCAGCTAGCATGTCTGTACACTCTTAGTCTTGTTAAGATGTAATCTGCAGTGTCTCTTGTTTAATCTCTAAGTTCATACCATTTAAATGTTATGTTTGTTTTAGCAGAAGCTATAGTTTATCTTTATACAGGCACGACGGGCAAAACAAACTACTTCCTCCTGTTGCCTTCGTCCCATCATCCTCCCATCACTTCCTCCTCCTCTCCTTGAGCAGCCGCTGTGGCATGTCTGGACAGGACAATGGGAGAGCAGGATTGAGCCAGAGAGAGGGAGCAGTAATATCAGGTGACATT